AGGAGAGGCTCCCTTTGCACAGCTTCCCGAGCAGGCAGCTCCTCCAACACACTGCTGAGAGCAGCTCTGCTCCCTGGGGCTCCTGCTCCGACAGCAGAGATAATGAGGTTACCAGCCCGGAGAGCCGCCCCTGCAGCTGCGGGCCTCTGGCTGCCAGCCTGCGCACTCGGAGCCTTCCGGTGACAGCTGCGGTTCCCTGGCTGTCGGGGGGCATTTGTCACAAGACCTGGTGGGCAGGCAGGAGGGCCCCAGGCAGCTGGCCAGATGCTGCCAAGATCGGCCTTGCCCCAGGTTTCTAAGCCATTTCCCAGCTTTGCTATTTCCTTTCTGTCCCTCAAACTGGAGCGGTTGATTTTTCCCCCCCATCAGCTGCCCTGCTTCGGTTCCTGACACACAAAGCTGTTTTTCCCACTGACTAGAAAAACAGGGCTTTTGGGGCGCCTGGAGGCATCCATGCAGTAACAAACTGAGAAGGGGGAGAGTGGCAGTCACCTTCACAGATGGCAGCCAATGTTAGCGGGGGAGGCAATTCCTAGTCATGGTACACCCTGGAGAGGGCAGGCACTGCCCAGCCCTTGGAGGGAAGGTGGTCTTTCTCCCATGACAGGGGACAAGCAGGTGTGGTCCTGAGGGATGGTGAGCCTGCCCCAGTCTAACTGCCCACCTCCTATGGCCGCATCATACTGGTCCACTGCAGGGGTGCCAACCCCAGCAGACAGGCAGGTCGAGACTCTTCCAGCTGAGGAAGCCTTTCCAGTCTACTCTGACCTTGGCTTCTGCCAAGGGCACACAGCCCTGGAGCCAAACCCTTCCTATCATGGACTATCACCCACAACCCAGCTCTCACAATTCTGGGAAGTGTCCTGAAAGGGTTGGTCAGTTAGAACATGGCTAGATAAAGGCAATTCCACCTGAGAATAGACGGCTTTGGCCATTTTCCTGAACGCCTGCACATCGGGGCTCATTTGCTCAGGGGGTAGGGCACAGGGATCAAGTGGCTGAGTGCTTTTCTTCCGTGGGCCTCAGTTTCCCCATCTGTAAACAGCAGGCATATAATAGGGGAGAGGACTCACGATCCTGTGAGTCTGGGTCTTTGGCTAGGGAGTCTAGTGCACCCCAAAGTGGGGTGGGGAGACTCTGACACTCTCTCCCAGTGGGGTTCACACCACAGATGTTTGGCTCTCAAGGAGCAGCAAACCCTACAAAGACAAGGGGAATTCCATGTGAGTATTCTGGCCCTTCCCTTGGCCCCTCCAACTACAAGGATCCTAAGCTGCTTCCCAAGGACAAAGGGCAGCATGTGGCCCCCTCCCCTCTGGTTTTTCCATCTACGCCAGTTTCTTGTTGAAGGCACAGGCAGGTCAAGATCTCGAGTCCTCTCCTAGCCAGGACAGAGTGGCCTCTTTCTGCAGCCATCATAATCCTGGATTAAAACAATAAGCTCCAACAAGTCTGGGTTTAACCCTTTCATCCCTGGAACAAAATTTAGGGAAATAATTTGGCATGTAACGCCAACTGACATTTCCCAATTTATAGGATGAGGCGGGTAGAGAGAAAATATATAGTGTACAGAACATACATAAACTTTCTGCCCAGCATTTGTTCCGTTTTTGTATATTATCTAGCCTTTTAATGACCAAGGAGAGCGCTCCTGCTGTCACACTGTGTATAGTTTCCTGAGTGAGGGGAAGAGGTAAGGAAGGCCTGGTACTCTGGACTGTGTGCTTCATGAGGCAGGGGCCTTATCTTGGGCCTTCTTCTCTGGGCTGCAGGATGCTGACAGGCCAGAGCCAAGAGTGGTGGTTCTGGGCAGCCTGCCTAGGCTCCTGTTCTGGACTGCCACTTCCTAGCTGTGTCACCCTGACAGGTTGCTTAGGGGTTAAGTCTCAGTTTCCCCATCTGCTAACTAAGGACTCAGTTGTTAAGTGAGACCTGAGTCTCTTTAAAGGGGTTAGCACAGGGCTGTTCACATTTACTATGATTATTGCTGTTATTAATAGCACCATTATTTTGTTAAATTACTCTCACCCCCTCACTGAGTAAAGAATGCAATCCCTCAACAGGCGCTGAAACCACCTGCCAAAGAGATGGCCCAGTGGTAGTCTGAAAGGGAAGTCGTGTTTGGAGTTGACACACCATCTCGAAGCTAGAGAGGGTGAGGTGGTGCTTTTGCTTTAGACTTTCAAAAACCTTTGACAGGGCTTCACACAAATCATCTTCCACAGAGGACACTGTTGGGTAGCAGAGGGAACCAGCTGTCTAGACCATAAACAGGAGCTTCTCTCAGCAGAGAAGGAAGAGAGGGCATCCTTAACAGGACTGCTTTGAACATACTTCATTTAACACCTCTCAAAGGATCTGGGTGGAGCCGCACAGAGCTTTCCTAAGACATCAAAGTGTCTCCATCCTTGCCTTCCTGAAGAAGGCTAACAAGTTCCCCACTGGGCTGGCCGTCTGGTGTGTGGGGACCGGTGTCCAAGACACCCCAGGTGGGGGGACAATGGCCTGCTCAGCTCTGGTGGCCAGGAATTCCTCTTCCTGAATTTCAGCCTGACTCCCCAAAGATGACTGCTTAAATTGGCTTTCTTGAGCCCCTCTATTCATAAAAGTTGGGACCTGAATGAGATTTTAGTGTGAGGTGTGTGTGAGTGCGATAATGACATGGCATGGAAGTCCCAGGTGGCACTAGCTGTGTGGTAGGACTTCAAGTGTTAGTTAGCATCCTTCCCTCTCCATCTAGGATTTAGAACACTAGATGCGTCAGGAGCACGGTATTAGAAAACACTGGTGAATGGTTAAATTACTTTTTCTTTCTAGTTTTGGTCTTGGTGGTTTGGGGAGTGGTAAGAGGGCTTCCCTCTAGCTTTCCTTTGAGTCTATATCTGAATCAGCAGGCAGGACTGGGAGTAGCGGGGATAAGCAGGGTGGGCAGGGCTCGGTCATTCTTCCTTACATTCTTGCCTCGGGTGTCCTCAGGTACCTACAGCCCCGAGAATCCTGGGAAGTGCAGGAGTGTCTCTTCCCCCATGCTCACCCCCAGGACTCATCATGACCTCCTGATCCTAGGGGCCCAGAAGATCCAGAACCTGACTCCCTGAGCAAAAATGACTCCAAACACTGGGCTACATGACACATGTACCAGGCCAGGGCTGAGGCCAATCTCTGAGCAGACAGCAGTGGGCAGCAGCTCAGACTCACAGATGCCCCCCGCACCCCCACTGTGAGTGTACTCTGACCATCCTTCCCAGTCAGGACACTGCCCACCCCCCTAATCACCTAGTGTGCCCACTTTCCCCAAGACACTGGCCGAGTGGCTAGAGCAAACTCTGTGAGATAGCAGGGTGGGATTGGAGGAGGAGAGATCCTTTACATGACCCCAGCACACCACCTCCATTGGGAAAGGAATCGGTGCAGTAAGTGCTTTGCATTTGTACACTTTCCCTAAGGATTTTTACAACCGTTATTTCCTTTTGGACTCACACAGTGTGAAATCAACCACACACGTACGAGTTGTCCCACTTTAAAGATGAAGAAACAGAGGCCAGGCAGGGGAGCCGAATCCCACAAAGCAAGAGCACGTCGTTTGCAATGCTCTGCACAGTGCCTCATGCCCACTGAGTGGTTTTGCTGAAGGAGCAGGCAGGCCCAGCCTGGGACATGGGGTGACTGGCACCCTCTACTCTGTCTCAGAGTTGACAATCCATAGTGGCCCACTGTCCCCAGATCTGCCCTTGTGCTTTCTCAAGGTCTCCTACTCTCCCGTTGATCGGTAAATGGAGGGACAATGGTGCGGAGGTAGAGAGAGAAAGGGTGCGCTCTGAGCTCTTACCTGTTCTGGTCTGAGTCCTGCAGGGAGATGCCTGAGTCCCAGTCCATGTCCCCAGATGGTTGCTCTAGGACCCAGAACAGAAGCAGAGATCAGGGCAGAGCCAGCAATGGGGCTCTCCACTGCCACTTGAGGAATGTCAAGGAGAAACGTGTCTCCAGAAGCCATTTGCTTCCCAGATAAACCCACTCCTCTCCTCTGCCTGTGTCTCTGCCTGTGTCTCTGCCTGAGAGGTGGAGGCATGGCCTGTCACGGTGGCTGTGGGAGGCCCTGCCGTGGGCTAAGGGGCCCACACGGGTCCTCTCGGGAGTGGGTGAGGAGTGAGCTCTTGGAATGGGAAGGAAAGAAGGGACAGAGGTGTCTTCTCAGGCTTGAACACTTGCACAGCCCAGTGGTGATACTGCCTGAGTTCAGTCCACCTGACAAGATGCTCAGCCACTTTGTGGTGAGGGCACGTCATTGGAGGGCGATGCAAAGAGCCTCTAGAAAAGACTACTTGCCACAGGAAGGAAGCTATGGTAGCCGCCATCCCCAAGCACAGAGGATGGCCTCCCATTGGCCTGGGGAGTCATGGGGGTACTCAGCAGATGGGGCTGGTTGTGGGGTGGTAAACACTCTATGTCAAAGCCAAGAACAAGAGGACATCCTGATGATTTTGGTGACAGGCAGCTCTCCTCCCTCTCCTGCCCCAGCCCCTGTGCAGTACCCGCTTCTGCTTTTCCTTCTGGACTCCCTTCTGCTGTCCCCACCACCCAGACCTGCAGAGTGAGCCTCACCTGATACAGCTCTGTCCCAGGATAGAGTCCGGGCTGGGATTCCCACCTTGGGGGGGCCCTGCCCCCCAACAATGAGCATCTCCTGCAGAAGAAGGCGGTTCCTCTCCACCTGTTCAGACAGGGGCAAGGCGCTGCGCCCCGTGCCCAGAGCCCCCAGATCTCCGGCTCTCCAGAGGCCCCCCATCAGGGCCGGCCTGGGGACAAAGTCCTCCTCGGAGGTTAGAGACAAGCTATCCAGGTCTTCGCCTGCAACTAGAGCATCCTGCAGGGGGCAATACCTTCCTTTCCTCAGGTTGGGCACGTGGGTAATTTTGTTACAAGGTCTAGGGCCCCTAGATTGTCCTGAAGTGACTCTGTGGAGGGGGCTGTCTTGCGAAGAGCTGGACCCCAGCAGCAGACTCCTCTCATGGTCAGGCAGTATCCTTACTGTTTCTGGAGCCCACAGGCTCCTCCCACTGCAGCACTCTAGCCCAGGGGCGGGCAGCCTGGGAGGTCTGGGGCCCCCATTCATGGCAGGCTCCTTCTCATTGACACTGTTGTCCAGCGGTCCCTCGTTCGGGTTCTGAGCATGGAGAACCACAACTGTATCCAGCAAGGGAGACCCTGATGATGGAGTTCGGGCTCCACCCACTTTGACTCGTCGGCATTTGGGTTTCTTGGGGGGTGGTCTCTCATGGGTCATGAGGCAGGGGCTTGCCCCCTGTTTGCCTGCTGTCATACTTTCCTTCAAGGCCCTGACCTTGGACTCCAGCACGGAGGGTCCTTGGGACTGTATCCCCCATGCCCTGGGAGGGTGGGGGACCATCTGGCTGGGTGTTCTGTCTTCCTGAGGGCAGAACCAGGGTCTTGGGAGGTGTCCATTATTGGGCTGTGGCTCAGTGCCACTTCTCGCCATAGCTGAGGTCACTTCCATGGAGCTGGTTATTCTGCTCCCTATGTTGGACTCTCTGGAAAATAAAATAGACAGAGCTCCTTAGACCCAGCGCCTGGCTAGCTCCAGCAACTTCCTGGGTCCCCAAAGCGCCTTCATATTGAGCCCTGTCCAGACAAGAGTAATCTGGGGCAGAGCAGGGAATAAATACCCTGTAGATAATGTGAAAGCACTTTGAAAAGCAAAAATCACTGAATGATACAAAAAGGTATTATTAAATTTAGGTTTACAGAGGGGGCACAAACATCAAACAACTAATCCTAAGCCAGATGTGGACCAGAGTGAAAAGCCAGGTCAGATCTCCCAATGCCTGGCCTCTTGTTTTCCTGGCAGGTGATCTCAGTGAAGATGTGATATCACACAGGACCTCAGGGTTTGACCGTCGGGTGGAAGTGCCCCCTGCGCCCCCCCTCCCCCCCACTCCCACTCCCACCCTCCAAACCACAGGATTACAGCATGGTGCTGTGCTCAAAGGGTGGCCATGATCAGTCACTAGCTCCTACCAGCATCTGCTCCAGGAAGGCCTGCAAGTGCTTTCAAACACACCCTCTCAAATAATCCTCACATCCTTTAGCCACATAGTATTATTATCCTCATTTTCAGACTGTGAACCTGAGGTACGGCAAGATTATGTCACAGAGGTGCTGAAGGGAAGCCGGTTTGGAATGCAAAGCTTTTTGTTTCAAAGCCATGGCTCTTCCAAAGCACTCAGAGGTCACTTAACCTCACTCCCCTTATTCTGTAATGAGAATAATCCAGACTAGAGGGCTTCAGTGACTTGCCAGGATGACACAGCTCCTTGGTGGCATAGTTTGCTGTCAGTCTCTTTGTAGGGAATGCAAGTGAGCACGGGATTTTATTCACCAAGCCCTTCTGTGCACACATACAGGCCACAAGGTCTTAATATTCACCCTGCTCTCTGAGAAAATGTTCCCTCGATATCATACATCTACATATGTCCCACTTGAAATAAACTGCATGTACAAAAATCCATATTTACATATATTACAAATTAGGAGTTAATTATTTACTTCATATGTTGACTAAAGAGTCACCATAGAATTACCTTAATTGGCAAGTCCCTCTACTTGTTTATTACAATTTAATTTATACATGTCTCAGGCATGTACATATTTCATAAAGCAAAGTACACACGGTGCAAAATGTCACATCAGCTTTCAGCCAGTGTAGTTTAGGGACCATCTTTAGAAGGCCGAGATCATCTGCAGTTAAACTAGGATTTACCAACTTTCTCCTTGCAGCCTAGTCACGGGTTTCTCCCTTCTAAGGTTCAATCCAGAGAACAGGGGATTAGAATATAATGGGAGTGGTTTTGGTTAAATAAAAAGAAACTTTCTGACGGGGAAACTCTAGACCTGTATTTCAGAGCTAATCCATCTAGAGAGACTTTCCAATGGGGCACTGCAGGCGGCCTGGGGAGACAGAAGGTGCTGCTCGGAGTGATTCTGTGGCCCAAGTGCTGCATTAGCTCAAACTCAGAAAGGCTAAAATGAAGATGGACATGGAGGGCAGGCCTCCCCCAACCCTTACAGCTCCGCGGCTCCGCCGCCCCGCCACCCCGCCACCCCGCAGCAGGCCGGCTCCTTGCCTCCTCCGTACTCACAGAAGGCCCCCACTGGCAGGTCTGGCCTCTGGCTCCGCCATCCCCTCCATCCTTGGACCAGCGAGCCCTCCGCTGATCCCCTCTCTTTCCCAGGCCCCCGGGCCAGGCTCCGCTCCCTGCTCCGCAGTCAGCCCTGGGCCCGGGTGGGGTCCAGCCGCGGCCTCCCTCCGGGTCACAGGAGGGAAGCAGGTCGGGCAGGGATGGCTGTGGCATCGGCTGCTAGTTCGTGGCTGTGCCACGAAGGGGAAAAAGCCAAGCCCGGAGCCTTCCAGGGCCGGGACTGGGAGAGCGGAGCGGAGCGCAGACTGGAGGGGAGCGGAAGGGGCTGGAGCAGCGGGGCCTGCCCCGCCCGGCCTCGCCCCCTCGGCACCGGCTGCAGCAGCCCGAGCCCCAGGGAGCGAGCGCCTCGCAGACGTCAGAGGGGCGGGCGAGGCCCGGGCTGAGTTCGGGAACACGCCTGAGCCCTGTGGGGACACAGGGACGCGGGGTGCTTAGCCCGACTGACCCCTCGTGGCCCGTGGCGGACCCTGGGTCGGCTGTGGCAGCGCAGCTGTGGGATGAGGCTCAACGGGAGCAAAAGCTAAGAAAACAGCACGTCTTCCCCAGCTTCGTGGGAATGCGTGTAACTCTACACCCCAGGCTGGGAGTGAGGCTCCGCTATCCGGGTGGAAGCTCCGGAATGCCCTTTGTTTAGACAGCCTTTCCAGAGGAGTTCGGAGCCCTCTTCCACAGGATGTCCCTGCCGTCCCCATCGGCCTGGGGCACCATTTCCTTCGAGGTCAAGGTCATTAGTTTCTGTTTTGCAGAGGCGGGAGGGTAACCAGAGTAGAGGTGGGTTCCCCCATCCTGTCTTGCCAAAGGGAGAGCCTGGTACCTGCCTTGCCAGCCCCCTGGGGTAGACGCCTGGGTAAGGACCCCTGAAGACACCTTGTCACTTTTTCCAGACCTGGAAGTAGCAGTAAAGGGCTTCACCTGCATCTATGGCCCAAGCCAACTGGAGCTTTCTTTCTCACGACCCGGAGAGAGGTGGGAGCCTTGCCTATTTCCAAACCCATTTTTTCACCAAGGATGGGAAACAAGAGAGTCAGGACCCGGGAGAGTCTGGGAATCTCTACAAAGGGAAAGTGCCATTCATCTTCCCTGCAGCCAGCAAGCTCTCTCTGAAGCATGTGAAGCTCTTCTATTTGCACATGTGTTCTACAGTCACCATCTAGATGACAGGCATAGCAACAACAAGGACCACACAGTGAGGGTGCGGTGGTGGCGGAGAGAGGCCAAGGTCGTTTCCAGAGGAGGCCTCTTTAGTGAGGAATTCCCCTGTAGAAGGTGGGGGATGTGTGCAGGGCCAAAGCGCCCAGTCCTGAGAGCAGCTGTCTGGGGAGCTGTGGTAGAATAGCCTTGAGCTAATTTAGGAACCCGGGGCAACCCCGCTGTGTTACAGAACAGGCCCAAGGCCCCACAGCTCTCGTGACAGGCGGTTTCCAGCGTCCGGGCCCAGTGCTCTAGCATTAGCTCCCTTCCCTCTGCATTTTCCTAGAGCCAGTGGTTTCTCCAACAGGGCACACTGTTCTTTAGTACTGATCACCTCATGACAGAGTACCATCGATGACGGCATACTGTGCACCTGCATTGGGCTAAGCACACTGCATTCCTTAGCTCATATGGCAACCTTAAAAGATGGGTACTGTGTATTATCTCCTTTCTGCAGATGGGGAAGCTGAGTTACTAGCTCTGTGGCCTTAGGTGATCTGTCCCAGGTCACAGAGCTAGTAAGTGGCAAGCCTTCTGGAGTACGAGGCCCTCACATCAAACACACTGTACGAGCTGCCAGTATTCTGCACATTCAGCATGGAAAGCTTTAGTTTAAAAAAAATTTCGGAGGTGCTATAATAGTCAAAATACGCAGCCCAGCCATAATGGTCTGGCCTTTTCTTTCTGGGTCCTTTCTGCCTTCCTTAATCCTGCCATTCAAGGTGAAATCATCCCTCTCCTCCAAATGCCATGTCAAACCTAACAACAACAATGCCATTATTATTATCAGGACCTCCTACGAACTCAGGTACTCCGTATAGGATCTTTACAACAACCCTGCAAAGTGGGTATAGGGTCCCCCCACCTTAGTAATAAAGAAAACAGGGTACAGAGAGATTAAGGGGCTTGCTCAGGGCCACACAGCAAGCAGAGAAGAAGCTGAACTAATCCTGTCCAGCTCCAAGATCTTCTTCCTTGCTTCCCTTTTTCAGAGGCATCTCAGGACTCAAACTCTTAGAGGTAACTTCTCCATGACGCCTGTCCCCACCCCTCCCCCAGAAGTTAATGATCTCTAAGGCAAGTTTCTGAAAGTTCCAGCAGAGGCTTAATGTTTAAAAGAAACCTGCCCCCCAACCTTTTGAGATGCAAATAAACACCTACAGTTTACTTATTAAATGTATTTTACACTTAAGATAGGGGAACAGAGAGTCACATCTATACAGAGGCTTTAAAAGATCACGTATTTAAAAGCACCCATAAGCAAATCCTCCGAATGTGATCGAATTACCAAGACATGTGAATCTGAGGTACTTCTCATTCATTTGGATTCTGTTTGGTTCAGTAAATATCTGTTGAGCTCCTACTATGTGCCAGGCACTGGGGAGACAAAATGTAATACCATAAAGCCTGTCCTTGAGACGTTTCTGGTCAAGTGGGGCATGGAAGGGGCAGGCCGTAAACTTTCTGTATAAGCGCTCCCGTTGAGGGTAGCATAGGGTAGTAGAGTTGGTCGGTTCACAGGAACGCACTGAGGTGTATGTGGGGTGGGAGGGGATATCACAGAGAGCTAGGTCTTGCAGAATCAGCAGGAATTAGCCAGACAGAGGGTGGGTGGAAGGCATTTCAGGTGGAGAGATTAGCATAAATACAGGCACTGAGGTGTGAAACTGCCTGGTTTCAGTATTACTAAGCGTAAAAGTGAAACTGGGAAAGGCCACGGGAGAGCTGAAGCTGTAGCGTAGGGTGGTGTGGCCTGGGTTAGGGCCTCTGGGGCTAGGTGAGGAATTTACACTCCGTCCTGTGAAGTGGAAATCTCTCAAAGGTGGTCTACCCTGGGCCTACCCCCTTCAGCATAGCATGTTTCTGGGCTGGGGAACTACCTTATATCCTTATGCATCAGACTCTTGCACTTCATTACCATCTTTTGGAGAGAAATCTAGGAAGAACACAAATACATGGTAAGTAGCAATCACATAGCCCTCTTCTTCCATTTGAACAACTAGGGAAGTGCACCTTCCTCTCAGCCTGGATAAAACATCAAGCCTCACTCTTCCTCATGCTCTCAACACTCAGCCTGAATGAAGAGCCATGTGGATTGTGGAAACTGGGTTCCACTTAGGATGAAGGCATAGGTGAGAAACAGTCCTTCAAGGTCACACTGTTAGAGTCAGGTGTGTGTGTGGGGGAGTGGGGTGGGAGAGACATCTCTGCCATCCCCCTGCTGTAATGCCTGATGGAGCCTGTCCAACTGGAAACCTGAATTTTCTGGTGGCTCCTGTCTTGGTCATGGGGCCTGTGGTCTGAGGAGCGCCCGATGGGGACACTGCTCTCTGTCCTGGGTCTGTACTCAGTATAGACCCAAGAGAGTGTTGGGGCTGTCTCCCATGCACCTGCCTACCCCCCTGCTTAGAGCCCTCCCACGACTTCCCAAGGCCTGATTTGACCTGTGCCTGTGTAGAGAGTCTCCTGGGACACTGGCCTCACCCAAGGCGATTGTGACTCCTTAGGTTGGAGTAAGGCCCAGGAGTCTGCTTTCTAATGTATTGCCCAGGTGAGGCTGAGGCCCAGTCAGTTTTGAGAAGCACAAGTCCTGGGGTTAAAACACAAACTCCTTTACACAGTACATGGTCCCTCCTGCCTCAGCTCTCAACACCCCAGCAGCCTAACCTGTGTGCCCTCCACATGGAATTGCCTCCAGTTCCCTCGACTGCCACACGGATTCATGGCTCCTTGCCTTTACCCAGGCTTTCCTTCAGCCAGAAACACCCTGCTTCACTCCACACACAAATACCAATTTCTCCTCCTCAGGGAAGCCTTCCCCAGTACCTTCCACAGTCCTCCTGACCTGGGTCAGAGTACCCTGGGCTTACTCCTGCCAGAGCACTTATCACACTCAGTTGTCAATATCTAATACTTCACAGAGAGCTTCCTGCTCCTTATCTTTGTCCCTGGTCCCTAACGTGTGCCTGACCACATGGAAGGTATTGACTAAATGCCAGATGGTTACATGGAAGCAAGAAAAAAAATCCCTGTCAGGTTAGAATGCCTAAGAGGAGAAGAAGGGGGCATTGCTTGCTAAGAGGATCTAGGCCATTTCCAAAGGATTTGGTTCATTCACTCACTATGACTGGTCCTGCACAAGGGCCTGTGAGAAGTCAGTCACTGTCAGGGCCAGGACAGCACCCAGGCTTCCTAACTGACTCCTATTTACACCTGGTGCCCAGGCCTCTTTGCCCCTGACCCTCTTCCTTCTTCCCAAAGCTGATCACAGATAGCAGTGTGGACTGTCACTTCAATTTTGAATGAGACTGGAAATTTGGAGATAAAATAGCTTTCAGAAGAAGAAATGGATGGGGGCATGGAGAGGATAAGATAATGAGAGAGAAGCATGCAAAACAGGCTGGGAGAGGACACCTGAGATAATACAGTCAGGTAACATGACAACGGGCACATCCAGAGAGCAGTCACCTTAGTTCCTCGTTATGCCTCTCTGCACACTCCAACACACATGTATAAACACATGTATGCCATGCTCTCTTATGCCACACCAACCTGAATTGACTAAGTCCCAAGGAAAACAGAAATGGGGTTCTTACCTGGTCAGGGTCAGCCTGCACTGCTCCCCCAGGCGGGCAGGCAGGCAGAGAGCCCACTAGGATGGGACAGGGACCTTTTCTGGAGATATGGCCTCCAGACTTCACTGCCTTTAATGATGCCCACTCACCCCGTATCCACCCTGACTTTCCTAGACATTTGGTCCCAAACTGCAGCTTTTCAGTTCATAATGTTAATCATAGGGAAATGACTGATATTAGGGAAATATTTTAATACTGTCCCTCCTACTCCACCATGTCTGCATGTGGGAGGCTGTCATCAACAGGACATCTGACTTTGACCTATCTATAATCACTGTATCTTGGCCAAGTCAATTTTCTCATCCACAAAATGAGAACTGATTCAGGGAGAAAGATATTGAAGGGTGACTGAACCCTAAAGTCATGTTTGTGACAATTTTTGATCTCGAGAAAAAACCAAGTGCTTG